GTCCGTTTTGGGGGCAGTGCCAAAAAGCATAATGCTCGATTTTAGGAGCATAATGTGTCAACCCCTAACGCAAACATATATAGTTTGCAAAGTAAGGTAGAGATCGATTCAGGAGTTCATCCTTATGCCCAATACCGTGACCTGAATTTAAATAGAGTTAAACATGCAATTTGAACTTAAACAGTTCATCAAAGAATAAAGATTAAATAACAATAAATTTAAGCTACCACTACCTGTTGTGTTTGTTACATGTCCCAAAAAGAAACCCCAAAACACTCGAACATGAGCATATATTTAAAAAAACCCTCACATCTTGCACAATATTTCTCGCAACACTGAATCATGTTAATGCCTAAAAACCCTTAGGCTTGTATATGCTCAAAAGGGAGGGCTCATTATCAAGGGGGGCGGGAAGGGGCTGGGTGACTACTTAGTGGAAGAAATTTTTTGCTCAAAATATATTGTAGGGGTTTATATTTTGAAATGATGTTGTGCGTGAGAAAACATTTGCAAACACATCTGCCACTCATCGCTCTCGGCCGCTTTGGCGGGTTTCCCCTGACGGCCCGGAGGAGATGTGTTCTCAGGGTAACGAGTGTAACGCATGGTAGAACTCTCCGAGCATAACACATGAAAACAAAACGAGTTCAAAAGTCGTTATGTGAACATCACCAATCACTGAGCGTACTCTGACACAAATTCCATCGCGTCAACAGTAGGGGGCTTACAACCGGAAAATGTTACAAGCAAAATTTAAGCTCGGGCGTATTGTCGCAAGGAAAATAGTTTATAGGTTGATGTTATAACAAGATATCAAACAGTGTCATAAACGTCTGAAGGAACAGACATTTCGGGAGTATAACTCTTCAGTGTTCAGAAAACCGTCATACTGACAAGGTTTGCGTCTCAGATTTGGGGAACTTGTTTTTGGAAGAGGGTCAGTTATTATCGGTACACTTGTAAAGACAAGTATCATTTTTACATGTGCACTAAATTTGTTTACAAGTGAATAGAAGGAACATCTATGAATCTGAAGTGCGGATAAAGATGAGGTGATGACGATCATCGCAGTTATGTACACAAATTAAGCTACCAGCTGAGCTATCAACGTGATCAGCTTCCAGTTGGCTTGATAGCTTAGTTGGTAGAGCACTGCACCGGTGTCGCAGAGGTCATGGGTTCGAATCCAGCCTGAATATTCACAGCTGGTTACGTTGTGTACATAACTGCAATGATCATTCATCTCTACATGGAAAATGTGTTTGAAACATTTTTCCTGCCATACGTCCATCAGCACGCGTTTGGGAATGGAAGGTGCCCTCCATTTGAACTGATCGACTAGCGTTTCAAAATTAAAAACAAACTACTAAGTGTTCTCGAAGACGAAAATGTCAGTCGAAGTAGTAGTAGTTAAAAAAAAGTTATCTATTAAATCTAATAACCCTTCACTTCTTTTCTCATTCTTTTCTCACTTTTTCTTTTTTTATTTTATTCACTTTTTCCTAACTTTAGTACTCTATACACTTTACTACTTTCAAATTATATGTTACAAAAAAAGGGCATGTCCGCAACTAGCAATAGCTAATCTAGGCGAACCATGCGTTAACAGCCGAATTACAAAAACATACGAAATCTCCTATTTATTTTCTATTAATAAAAAGGCATTTATAACTAATGATAGATTGGCCCGCCTAGACTAGCACTAGCTTTCCGCGAATCAGTCCAACTGTAAACAAACAAAAATGATTGATTGATTGACTAGCCATAAATTAAACGTCTGCATCCAGTTGCTTCTGCTTCTTAAGCTGCTATGAATCTCCCATATTTAAAGTTTATTCCGCCCGCGTACGTCGTTATTTCGGAAATTAAGAATTCTATGGCAGTTTAATTCAGTAAATATTGGTAAATGGAGCAACGAAGCATCTATGAAAAACCGTGCTTTGGGTTACCTGTATTTTAATTGCTGTTAGTGCGGTCTATTCAGTTCGTTGTATTTCACTGCTTTCTCCTCTACCCGCCATATGTTGCACTAAATGTGTACGTTTTGAGCGTATGATTTTCACCATACCATTTGGTCTTGCTGTTTTGGTTAAAAAGGGCAAAGATATACATTTAAGGGATAGGTCTATTAGAGTTCAAAATTTATTTTATTTTAGCTTGAGATGCTCATGACGGCAGACAGCACCCCCAAAAATGGGGGAGGCACTGCCCCCCCCCCCGCCGCCCCCCTCTCCCTCAGTCCCGGGGACACAAGAAAACTCTATTTCACCCTATTATTTAAAAGCCGCACCCCACTTTTCTTTCGTATGACCATTTCCTCCCATTTTATAACTCACTTTGAGAATTGCATAAGCAAGTTTTCGAATGAACCAGTTCACATTTCCCCATTACGAAATCTGAAAAACAACCTTTATTTTTTAAGGAAAAAAATGGTAAAAAACATTGTAAAAAAAAACATGTTCACCCTACTGGGTATAAACATGAACAAAATGAATTTCAGGTGTTATCGAATTAAACGGGGTCAAGGGCCTGACGGGGACAAAGCGTGATGATAGCTTCCCGATTGGTCGAACACAGGTCTGTTGCAACCCAACGGGATAAAATGCTCATAATTCTCTAAGGGGTGGACCATTTGACTTTTGAGGGAGGGTTGGGTGATTTTGAAAAAAAAAAATCCTGCAAGCATACTTAACCAAAAAACATTCATGCGCAAAACCACTGCTGAAAAAAATTTTCACGCATGTTTAGTGAGCCGAAATAAGTAATGGTAATAGGACTGAGTGGAGTCCAATTCGGTCTGTAATCATACGAGTGATAACATACGAGTGAGAAAAGAAGGATAGCCAAGTTATGAAAGAAAGGGAAAATTTGCATTAAAACACTGACAAAGGAGGCGTAAATTGTTTAATGTCGCTCTGAAATTGAC